ACCAGACACTGAGCTTTCAGTAACCTATTTCAATAGTCCCAGCATCTCTGTCCACAAAGGAGGAGAGGTTCCAGAAAGCCGAGCCTCAAGGCAATGCAGGCAGCAGCCACTTTTCAGTCTTCAGCGGGAGCTTAAAGTAATAGCCACTTCAGTCTGCAATACTGAGCCCCAGCCCGGGAATGAGCTACACACTGGTCCAGAAAATTCGGTCCTGAATCCTGGTGCAGAATGGTGCACTGAGTTATATAGAAGGGAAAGATGCATAGCTGCCCTGTTCAGACGAGACTCTTTACCGCCCCCTGTTGGCGAATCGTCATACTATACTTACTATAGTCGCATAAGACCCTCTACTGCCATCTGCTGGAAATCTGTCATAATAAATACAAAAAACTGGGATGGTGACACTGCAAGATGCCTCTTTAGAAGGGATCCTTTAGGGCAGACCCTAGACCAACCCTATGTGGCAGCCCTGAACATAGTCACTAAATACAAGCCACATCCTTCCTCTGGTTCCCATCCAAAGAGTGAGCAATCTGCTCCACTGAAGGGAATACTGGCTATGCTGGACTTAACGATTCTAGACTGTACCCACAGGGCATGTCAGGAGATTGTCCAGGGTAATTTTGACTACACTTGATATTCTCCTTACCCAGCCTTTATACAAAGGGTGACCCTGTTTCCCTGGCATGTTTAGCCAGCAGAGACTAGGACCGATTCTATTATATGTATATGAAATTGCATCAAATTCAAGAGCAAGTATGAGGACATAGAAGGAAACTATTGAACTACATGAATTCTGAAGGACTTTTCAGCTAATTTTAATTTCCATGGACAACTGTATGTCTGTTAAAAATTGTGCCCCCTTCCCAGGGTGTAGAGGTGTCAACAGGAAGGGTCTGCCTAGTCAACGACCACAATTTCCACACCCTCCCTGCATCTAGATGTGATGAGTTTTTACCCACAGAAGTATATCTCTTCTGGCTGAAGTGATAATGAAAGTAGAGGTGCCTTCTCCATCTCCCTTGCCCCATCTGCAGACTTCAGAGCTCTGAGACCCAAGAGGCAGACAGAACTCCCAGATGGACACAGCCTACATCCCTGCCAGCCGGAAACACCCACACTGCACTGTTACAGAGGAAACAATTTGCACTGCCTCAAGCCACCACACTTTGGGAGTTTAGTTATTATAGCGGCTAGCATTATCTTAATATGATTTGCTAATTAATTAATGTATTTTGTCTGCTAACAGTAAGTTCCAGCAATCTGTACGGAGGAAAATGAAAAAACTAAGGCCATCCTGTTTTCTGTTATTTGGTGCAGGATAGCCCTTCTAAATCTCAGCGCAGAGTACAAGCATCGCTTTCCTATTCCATGGGAACACGGCTTGAGGATCCCTGAACAAGCTCTCTGCAAGGCTGCTTCCTGCTCCTTCTTTCAGGAGAACCACCCAGTGGTGGCAAGTGCAGATGGTGGGAGAAAGCCCCCTGCACCCAGCCAGGCCTCTCTGAGACTGTCCTCATTGCTGTAACCGCATATTCTCACTCACCTGATCCAAGCACAGCGCTTGAGGGGCCAGAACATCTCCAAGGTCATCTTTCCTATAAACACCATCATATTTCAGGGGATGAAGTGATAGGGAGGAGGTGTCTCCTTCCTTGCCTCCCTCCTCTTGCTCCCTTCCTTTCACTTTTGGTAAAAACATTTCATCACTGGTGGTGTGAGCTTTTTATAACATAAATGGGGCAGGGGCCGTGATGCCTGATTGACCCACTTGGAGTGACGTCAAATGAAATCACTGAATTCAAATTTCTCAGCCTGATCCTTCCATGATAAAGTCCCCCATCGACTTTTCAACCAGCAGTTTTGACACCCATTTTATATTATTGTCTAGATCCAATATTTCATAAGGGGATATTTTTTAGTTGAAATTCTTCTATGAAGAACTTTCCTTCCTCAACTGTTTAGGTTGTTCTGAAATATAGTTCATACGGGGAAGTCAGGATAAGCACTCGCTTTCTTTCCCTTCGGTGGTTTTTAGAATGTTGTTGCAAAGGTGACCAATGAAATACTTGTTAGGATAATTATAAACCCGCAGATTAAAATATCTATCTAGCTATTCGATTTAGTTCAAATCATTGCAGTTCCTTTTCTGTTTGATGCTCAAAGTCTCCCATTGTTGGCCAGTGGAAGTTCATTCAGGTCAGCTCCTGGGTCCTGCTTTCATCACCGCAGTGAGTAGTCTTTGATAGCTGCCTTGCTTTCGGACAAAACAAAATGTTCCAGGCTCATCTTGCTTTCCTAACTGTGAAACTGTTTAGAGATTACAGTCTGAGATCTATGGATGCTCACACTGCAGGATTATCATTGTTTCTGAGCTTTTTCTATGGACGGAGCACACACAAGTCCTTATGTCAACATCTTCTCTTTCTGATCATCAGACACTTGAGATACTTTTGTAAATTTCTCAGGAGGACTCTTGGAAATAATATTCTTTGAGTTGTTGCCTGTCGGTAACTGTCTGTGGTCTTTACACTTCAAGGTCAGGTTGGCTGGATCTAAAATTTATGGTTCCTACTTCCTTTCTTGGAATATATTAAATGTGTTACTCTGTGGTCTTCTGGCGTCAAGTGGAACCATGAGACAGAGAGGAGAGGCAGAGTTGTGATACAATCAAACCCCAAACCCCCAGGGTGGGCAACCCACAGACTGGAGAATAAATACATTGCACATTTTTGTATTAGAACAATGCTACAATAAGCATGGGTACGTGTCGCTGGGGACGCACAGGCGAAAGCTTTCCTGTCATATGGAACTAGAGGTTGGGTCGCTAGGTTACAGGTATGAGGCTTCAACTTTACTAAACAAAATCACTGCCTGCACTTCAGAGAAGAATTTTTTCTCCATTCCATTCATCACAGTTTGCATTTCACCTTTCCCTCCTCAGGGTATTACTAATGGCCCCCAGAACCAGAGCAGTAAGCTGCCTTGGCTTCTGTGTGACAGACCCCTAGCAGAAGGGACCAGAGTTTGCCTGATAAAAGTTTTAATAGATCCCTGGCCTGGTTTAGCTTTGGGTGTTTGTAGCATCACAGGTCCGAGGGCCACTGCTTCAGCAGGATGGAGCAGGCTACTCCCTTATCCAATCATTGGAGTCACAGATCTTTTCAGACACTGCCAAGATAGCCTTTGTCCAGCTCTGCATGGTTCCTTGAGGTCTGGTAGCTTTGGGACTTTTCAAACTTGAGGCACTGGAACCTTTGCCAGGCTGGGTTCCCCACAGCCAAAGCTTCCAGCCCTCTCTTCGGAGGTCCTCCACCTCCTACCTCCCCTGGGGTTCTGCCACGGAACCTGCAATCAGCCCATACCTTGAGTGGTGCCCACCAACATTTTCTTCCTTTCCTGTCTCAAGGACTCTCTCTCCTGAGACACACACACAAACATGGACTTCCATGAGCTTAGATCCTGACAAAGGCACAAAGAGAAGCTCTCTCCCAGCCTGGATCCCCATGGCTGAAGCTGGGGCAAAGGGAGAGGTGGCATCGGGTAGCAGCACCATGGCTGGGAAACCATAGACCCTGTCCCAGTTTCCCAGACAGCAAACAACCTGAGACTCACCTTCCCAGCAACCCCGGCAGCTGGCAGCCAACTTGATGAAACTGCATTCATTTATTCTTCTAGGAAAATAATGTGATGTTTTCTGCACCCAAGAGGTTGAACGGGCCACGGGCCACCCCCATTACCCTGTGTTACTGAGAAGTTTATTCACAGCAGCTCTGCGAGGTGGGCAGTGTCATTCCCATTTTTCAGGCGAGGAAAATGAGGTCTAGAGAGGTAAAATTACTTGCCTGAGTGGCAGGGTTATGACTTGAGCAAGTGCAGCCCTGACTCCCCGAAGCCCACGTTCTAACTTACCATCCAAACGCCTAGGGCATAAGCATTGGAAAAAGCTGGGCAAAGACTTACCCTGCCTCCTGTCTATGCATGCCTCCCTGAACTGCCCGAACGCGGCGACCTTAGACAAAAGGAATTTAGCAGCTTGCCTGGGACACCCTTCTTATAGATTTAAGTGCTTTGCATCACTTACTCTGACAAATGCTGCAGCTTTGGTCGCACTTTCTTACCTGCGTCTGTGCACATCCTCCCCCCCGCCCCCTACGGAGCGTGTGCTGGCCCTATTCACCAGCGCCTGCACCCTCTGGGGAAGCCAGGCTCATTTGGAAACATACCCCAGGACCAAATCTTCCCTTATGACAAAATATGAAACAGGAGTCATTCAATATTTTTTAAAATCCAGGTCTCTATTTTTCCTGTGCAAATATGGATGTAGGCATACTTAATCATTAAGGCTTTTAAAATATATGCACATGGCTAGTTACATTTTGCAGATGATATGGGCTTGGATCACACTCTCCTTTAATAGGCCTTTGAGATTCATTTTTAAAAGTTCAAATGGTCAAATGATCC